TTTTTTTATATTAAAGTGGTTTCGAAATAATTGTACTAGTTTTGTAAAGATATTAATGTAGAATACAATACACACTTCTTTTTTTTTTTTTTACACAACACGCTTTTGAACAAGTATTGTCATTAATGATCTCCTAAAGTATATATTCCAGCTGTATTTAGATCCTCATGAGCGCTAAATGTCATCTGCAGTTCAGGTCTGCACATCGTTTTGGGTCTGTGCTGTGGGTTCATTAAATGATTCCCCTACCTCCCCTCCTCTGTTGAATCCACAACTGTTGTTCTGTCTATAAGTTCCATTTCTTGATGTGCATTATCACCTTCTATTATTTCTCACAATGGCAGACCAAGAACAATTGTTGTGAGTAGCTGTGTTTGGAGGCAACTAGGAGACACCATCGTTTCTCAAGCCCTCTCAGTGAAATTCTCTGGGATTGCCTCTTTCCTTACTTACACCGGGTGAGTTTCATCTCTGCAATGATGGAAAGGGGAGAATTATATCTTTTATTTGTTTTCTTGAGCACTTCTGACCTGTTATCCTTGGAATGAAATAAGGGGCTTCTATTTAATGTGAAGCCTGTTGCTTTATGAAGTGAGTCAGGGAGATGCACATTCAGAGTAACTAATGTTTTGGGGGTTTGGTTTTGCTAAAATTCTTCTTGAGGTGGCTGTGGTGTAAGCCACAGTGCCCCACAAGGGGCATCAGATGATCTCAGTTCAGATCCCATTTCTGCCACCTGTGAACTGTGTGACATTGACAGGTCTCCCATACTGCCAGTCCCCCTTCCCCCATATGAAAAATAAAAACTAATATCTGACATCTGGTGTTTTAATTATAGATTTAATGGTGAAAGTTGTGTAAATATATTACCCAATGTCTTCATGTATATCTGGTCACTTAAGATGTATGAGTTATGTTATTTATTTTATGTGTAGGCAACTGTAATGTTAGCAGAATATACTAAATGTTTGAAAGGCTTCCATTATCGAGGACAACATCTCTTACTTTTTTTTTTTTTTTGTCTTTTTTCGTGTCCAGTAACAGATCGCAACCCTCAGTGTCGCGCCCGTACCGGACCGGACCGGCCACGGGATCGCAACCCTCGGTGCTGCGCCCGCACCTCGCCCAGCCAGTGAGCGGGAAACGGTCTGTAGCAGTGCGCCACCGGGCCGGCCCAAACATCTCTTACTTTTTGATATAGCATTACAATGCACTTTGTTTTATATACAAGGCACAGAAAATGCTGATTAACCTTCAAGTCATAAATCCCCAACTGGTCATTCATCTGAGAATCCAGAATTCTTTGTCACATTCTTGCATAAAGTAATTTAGGGTTAGTCAATAGTGCTTCTCAATCATGTCTGCACATTGGAACCACCGGTGTTTGGGGCATTTTTGTTTGTTTTATCAATTACTGATATGTGGGTTCCAAATCAGTAGAATTAAACCGGAATGTTCTGGGTGAGCACTGATAAAAACAACAAGGCCATTGAATCAAGGTCCACTCAGCGGCGTGCAAGAGGATCTAGCTTATTGATCATTTTATTTGCCAAAGATGCACACACTGAGTTAGAAGGGCATGTTATAAAGGATTTTGTTCGCAAGTGCCCAGTGTTGTAGTAAGAAAAGAAGGCGTCAATGGATCCGGTTGTGGTTCTGGTGCTCTGTCTCTCCTGTTTGCTTCTGCTTTCACTCTGGAGACAGAGCTCTGGGAGAAGGAAGCTCCCACCTGGCCCTACTCCTCTCCCAATTATTGGAAATATCCTGCAGTTAGGTGTTAAGAACATCAAAAAATGCTTCAGGAATGTAAGTACACTTTATGATTCTGCAGTGTCTTGCCAAGGGTAAGTACTTTTACCCATATTTTTAAGCAAAATTTATTTTTGGATGCACACCATTATAATATATCATTTTAAAGCAAATTACTCCCTATAAACAATTGGTGTTTCTGTTACCAATCTGTTATTGTCAGAAATAGCAGAGTGGCATAATGCATTCTGTGAGCAGAGAGGCATTTAGGTCTTTGTATGGTAGAATTAAAATACCAAAGTGGCAACCTTTGGAAGTGCTGCTTTTCTTCTTCTTTGTTTTATGTCCACTTGCTATTATTTTTATTTCTGAAGGTAAATGGTAAGGGAAGTGTGTGAGAAGAGATTTCATTCAAAAAGTCATCTATTATATTAGTTATGTGTTTTATTCAGTAGAGCCATGAAAATTGAACTGCTCTGAAGAACCGACTTATATGTGACGTCAAGGATAGCACTAGGCTCAGAACCAGCTTAAGTTAATGAATTGGTGGTATCAGGATTCTTTTTGGCTTTGCACAAAGCTGCTCTCAGTGGCCAAAAATGCTGGAGGATGTTAGAAATTGTTCTTCCAGGAGCTGCTGCACACCCTGGTGCTGCCCGTGTAGTGCTCTCTCTTTCTGTGCTAGTAATACCAGCAGGTCCCAGAGTGGGCTGGGAATCAGAATTACCTGGAGTGACTTTACAAGTATAGATTTCTAGTGTTCATCACAGGGATCTTGAGTCAGGATCCATATGGGAAGAGGTTTAAATGGGGTTCTGAAGTCATCAACTGTCCACTAGTCTCAACAGATTGTGTGGGGCTGATAAATTGCTCAAACATCACAGGTTGAATAAGCAGAGGTTCAAATTTGAGTCTTCTGTATAAAACCTGTGTGGCACCTAAAATGAATTTG